TTGTTCTTTTCATACTTCTTTTTCTTTGCAATTTATCAAATTAAAATGAACTTCCTTTAAATGGAAGTTTAATTATCTTTCATTTTTACTGTAACATTGTTTTCGTTATTTTTTATTTTATTTTATTTTATTTTTTTCTTTTCTTTTCAATAAAACTAAAACGACGATTTTCTTTTTCACAATGATCGTCGTCTACAAAACGATAACGTTTGATACTACATTTGATTTTATAATTATTATTATTATTTTTTTTTTCTATCATATAGAAATAAATATTATAGATACCTATATCGTTTTATTTAATTTTGTTAGATGATGAAATTTCTAAAATACATTTACAGGAACTTATTTCGTTAAAAACTTGGAAGATTTATCAGCGCAAATGTGCTGTTGTCGTTTTTTTTTTCTTTTTTTTTTTGTATCTTTTCTCTTTACATCAGTCACTTTTGAAAAAATTTCTACCAAAAAAATTGGTTGAAATGATGTGCTTCTTTTTCTTTTTTTTTGGATTTTTCTTTTCGTACTGTTCAACGATTTCTAAAATGTATTTATGCACGTTTAGAGAAATACATGAAATATATATTTTAAAGATACGTATTTATAATAAAAATATAACATACATAAACATGCATCAACGGCAGTCAAATAAAAAAACATTTCCATTGGTTTTTTTTTCTTCTTTCATATTTCTACGTGTAAACGATTTTCTCTTTACTATTTTATCTAATAATTCAATTAATTAAATATACTTTTCATAGAGTATATTTAAAAGAATATATATATATAAAAATGTGAACATTTTTAACCCATAAATGATAATATATCTATATATGTTTTCATAGAAAAATTATATTTATGGTTTTAATTAAACATGTTAAATAAAATATCAAAAAACTTTATCAACCTCTTCAAAAGAAATTTCTCAATTTTGTAATAATGACAAAATCATAAGTAAAAGAAAGATAATTAATATATTTTAATATATTTTTATATATTATATATATATATATATATATATATATAATGATTATTATTAAATAAAAATGAAGCTAAATACGATATGCAATCCTTGAACATAATATGATTGTATTCAAACATAAACATGATTGCTTTAATGTAATATGATAGCTTGGAACGTTATGATCACTCAAACGTAAAATGATTACAAGAATATAAAATTTAATTATAGATGAAGTATTATAAAGATATCTAATAATAAATAAAGTCTATAATCTAATCTATAAAATTTATTTATAGATTAAATATTATAGGAAAATATTTTTCATGAGTTAACTAAGAAGAGGTTAATAAATTGCAGACAAATATTTATGGAAATTATTCAATACTATCTTGTTCTTTTTTTTGAAACTATTTTCTTTAGTTTATCTTCTCATTTTCATCATAAGTATTTGTTTTCATTGTTAATCAACAATATACATAAATATTGTTTATCGGTCTTACATACACTCATCCCTCGTTGGTTTACATTCTCGGTATTTCAATAAGTTTAACACGATCAGAATTTTTCTCTTATATTCATTGAATATATTATCAATATTAATTACATCATTTTTCTTTTTTTTTCTTTGACTTGTCAGATAAGAAAATGATTAAGATTTTTGTTCGAATTACAGCTGAAAGAAAATTCTTTTCTGATCATGTTTAAATGAAATGAAAAATATACGTAAACCCAGAAGAAGATTGAGGGACGAATGTATTTCTAATAAAATTATTGAAAATTATAAACTATTATAGTGAAAACTTAATCTTACTAATAATAATAATTTGAAAAATATTATTATTATTATTATTATTACACTCGCAATTCCAATTGTATACCTTGATTTGATCATTGGGCACTCTTGCAGAGTGGACAAGCGAGATTATAATTGAAAAACATTAATATAGATATGTTTATTTTTCCCTATTTAACAGCCAATCTAATTTCAAAATACATCTATACAAACTGATTATTATTATAAATACAAATTGTTTTACAAGCGATAGTAAAAACATAAATTAGCGTTTTCATTTTGTTTACGGATTTAATCTTATTTCTTTTTTTTTTTAGAGTCTTTTTAAGTGACTTTTAATTAATCATACGTATTTTGTTTTTATCATTTCGATTTCAGAGAATTCGTATTATAATGAGAGATTAATTAATATTATTTTTAAATGAACAAATAAATATCGTCAAGATTAAATGTCATTTTAAATTCAAATCATAAAAGTGAAATTGTGTTTGATAATGCATGGAAGTATTATTTCATTTCTTTTTATATCTTTCTTTCCTTTCCTTTTCTTTTCTTTTTTTGTAATTTGTTCTTCAACTTTCGAAACGAACGATCATCCATCGAAAGTTTTATTTGATATTCCACATTTCTTGTTCAATCTTGATTTAGGAAAACGTGCAAGGGAAACAATTTTGAAGAGGCATCATATTGACAACATTGTCAATGTTTTTGTTGTTCCTATTGGCTGCTTATTATTTTCATATTATTTTGTCATGAAAAGTGAAAACAAAAATACAAAACAAAAACAAAAACAAAAAAAATAAATATATTTAATAATCATAAAAATAATTTATTAATTAAGAACAAGCCATATACAATTAAAAGCCGACAATTAGTACACGAAGATGAATTTAAAAAAAACAAAGAAAAACAAATTTGTTTCTCTATCGTTAAAATTAATAAATATAAACTATCGCAAAAAATAATTTAAATAACGAAAAATTCATTACTTGTTGTTTATCTATTATTGCGTATTTTTAATACGAAATAAATAAGTTGATTAATCTGTTTTTTTCTTTCGTTATGTATTGTGCACATTCTATTATAGAAAAAATAGATAATTTATATATATATATATATATTTATTAAACTTTTTATACAACGTGTACCATTTTCCCGATACTTATGGCTTCAATGTTATTTTCTTTTGGCTTAAAAATAAGACACTTGTCAAACAAAACATTGTTTTTCATCAATGAATTCATTAAATAGAAATTCATTATATTTTTTTCCCGTCATCAATTAAATATTACTTTAAAAGTATCATATAATTCAAAGTGAATTTGTAAGTCATTCTTTTTAGGACTCCATTAGTACAATATATATTTTTTGTCCAAAAAATCGTCTGTATTGATTTCAAAATCATTGTTCAATCAAAAAAATTGTAATTTAAAAAAAAAAAAAACAAACAAAAGAAAATTAACATAAACAAATAACTATTTTTGTTAATACTGTCATTGGTATTCATTTATAATGTACTTAAATATGAAAAATCACAGGACGGTTTAAGATGCGTTCAAATCTTTCGTTTTTTTTTTTTTTTTGATTTATACTAAATAACGTTTGATAAATATAATTGTAATTGTTATTTAAAAAAAAAATAAAAAAAAATGAATTCTATATATATATATAACGCGATACGCAATATTTGCAATATATTAATATGATAATAGGAACATAAACCTGTTACTTAAACTCAAATAAAATATAATAATAACAATTATAAAATATGTAAAGCTAATTGTAAATAAAAGAAAATCAAAATTTCCTTGATAATTTTATCTTCATTTTTTATTTTTTGTTATCCCCCTCTCTTTTTTTATCTTTATGCTTTCGTTATTCTTTTTCTTCGGGTTTTTTTTTTATATTACTTCTTATTATTTTAATTTTAATTTTTTCTTTTTTTTTATTGTAATTCTATTTTATTTGCTTTCCATTTTTCATGTGTGCCACACAGAAGGATACCGACGTTTCTTTCATTCTCATCCTTTTTTTTATCAATTTCTTTTTTACTTGTATTTTTTTTTTAATTTTTTAATTATTTTTTTTTCTTCTTAAATCAGTCTTACTTCAGTCTTATGCTGGTGTGAGGGTGAATTCTATTACTTTGACCTTTAATGGTTATAAATTAAAGCAAATGGTAGTACTATTTCAGAGGCCTCTTGTAATTCTTTTTTTTTCTCTCTCTCTTACTTCTCTTTATTTTTTTTTTGTTCTTTTTATTTCTTTCTTTATTTGTATTTTTTCTTTTTTTTTCTTTTCTAAAAGAGATCATACAAATGGACCAACTACGTTGATAAAAACAACAGAAATTAACCATCAAGTATTCATGTGAAAATGTGGATGATTATTTTTTGATTTAATACAAAATATATATAAAAATAAATTGATGACGAATTTGTGCCTGGTATGTTGGTATTAATCATTGTTATTAATAATCTTCTTAAATCTTTAATATATGAAAACTAATGTAGCAAGCTATATGATTCTAAACTTTAAATCTTCAACGTAGTTGTACATTTATATCAATATGCTTTGTGTGTGTATGTGTGCGTATTTATGTAAGTGTACATGTACTTTTGTGTGTATGCTCATGTCCATGAAATCTTATTTCTTTTTTTTTTGCTAAAAACTAAAACCCCAATTTAAGGGATAATCAAAAAGATGTGAAAGAAATTTGTTAGTTTCGAATATTTTCAATATTTCGAGTATCCTCATCATTCTTTTACATTCATATTTTCATATCATTCTAACATATTTGATCGGACATCTAATATCCGATATTGTGCACGCTTTAAAACAATGTATATATATGTATAAATATATAATAGCAAGCATAATAAATCGGCTAATATTATATTTCTCTGAACGATCTGAAAACTGAAGTTTAGCATTCTTTTCTCTCTATATTATTTTTTTTCTTTTTTGTACTTATATCTTGGCACCGAAAATGAAGAAGGAACATTCATAAATTCCCATCTAGTATTATATACAATTAGTATGAAAATATTGCTTTCAATGTCACGCGAATAAATAAAAACGCGGTACTTTCGTATCTTTAACATATCTATATGTATATAATATATAATATATAATATATATATAATTAGATATATATATTATATATATTATATATGTATATATGTATATATATATACATATACATATAAATAAATAAATAAATAAATAGAGAGAGAGAGAGAGAGAGAGAGAGAGAGAGGGAAAGCGAGAGAAAGAGAGATAGAAAGAGAAAGAGAAAAAGGTAGCAATATACACACTTGAGAATATCTACACTTTGTGCTTGATACTCCTTTTTATCATTGAAATTCATTTAAAACAAGATAGCCCGGTTGTTACCGAAATCCACAACTGCGATTCTACCGTCCGGACACAAAGCAACACCAGACGGTCTATCCATTTCACCTACACCTGTACCAAAACTGCCAAAACCTGTTATAAGAGCTCCAGAAGAATCAAATACCTGTATTTTGTGATTTCTTGAATCAGCTACAATGATGTTACCATCATCATCGATGGCCAAGCCTTGAGGTCTGAGGAATGCTTTAGCACCTCTGGCAGCCTCGCAGTTGAGGATGCGAGAATTCATGAAGTCGTAATCGATGATTAAGATTCGATGATTGTTGAAATCCGCACAAACAATATTGCCTTCTGGATTGAAGGCTAATCCACGTGGCGAGTCGAAGTATTTCCACATTGTTGGATCCGTTTCGTGGCCAAATTTTCGAAGAAATACACCTTCCGGACTGAACAATTGTATACGATGATTTCTTGAATCTGATATAACTATTTGACATTCGGAATTAACTGCTACACCCCAGGGATAATTGAAATAACCGCACATTGATCCTCTTTCGCCGAAACTCGTTATATATTGGCCTTCCATCGTTACGATCTGGAACAGCAAAAGAGTACATGTTCAAAATATTATTGATATACTAATAGGTTTGATATTATTTAAAAAATTGAATAAATTAAATACCTGGACACGGTGATTATCTTTATCGGCAATAATAATACGTCGACGTGAATCTACAGCAACACCGGCCGGCCTGTCGAACTGTCCAGGACCATTACCGTATGTACCAAATCTTCTGACCAATGTACCATCCAATCGATAAATTTGTATACGATTATTCGATCTATCAGCGAAAATGACATTTCCTTCTTTGTCACAGGTAACGCCCCAAGGTCTACAGAGATTATCCTTAGGATCAGCATTATCCGCAAGGATTTGTGGTTGGCAAGAAGGAACCTTAGATCCAAACCAAACTGTCACTGGATAATCGTTCAGCGGTATTGGTCTTCCTCGTGGTATTGAAACATTAGCTTTTGAAAATGAAAGAAGCGTCGTTGGTAACGCTTGTGGAAGTGAATTTCCACGTCCTTTTAGATATCGACGATCACCTATATGACCAGGATTGTTTAATACAATCGTGCCCAAATTCACGATGTTTTGAAGCGCGTCAGTTGGTGATCCAGTAAATGATATCCAACATTCTTCCGGTGGCGGTAAATTGTGCTGAATTTGACGAACCTTACACATCTGAAGGTATAATATAATATATGATTAATACTATATTATTATCGCTAATTATTAAGTATACATACAATTGCGGTATGGAATATTTAGGTACGTTATCAATTATATTTTTTACAAGAACATAGTATGAATAATATAAAAACAAAATACTACTAATCAATGCACTACAATTAACGTAAGTTATTATATGACCGCTCTTGTACGTATTATGTTAATTATTTTTCAATACTTCAGATAATGCTAAATCCTTGCAAGTTATCAATGCTCGTGGATTATTGCCAACCGTATAAGTTTCCAAAGCAGCGTTAAGTTCATATGCTGTTTTCGTCAATTGAGCTATACCAATTCTGAGTCCATTGTCTCTCGCTTTCAATGTCGAAAATTTCTTGGATCTAGTCTTTTCAATTTTTCGTAACAATTCCTTCTCACGTATTTCCAAAGCAGTTGTTATTCTTTTCATGCACAGCATCACATCAGACGCTGCTTGTCTAGCTTTTTGTTCTACCATTTCGGAAGCTGACTGTTACAATGAAAATTGAAGTTACAATCTAATACTTTTTAATAATAATTATTCAATAATATTATTTATAATAATCATAAATCGTAGGCACACCTGACAAGAGTTTAATTCTTGTTTCATTGCTGCAATTCCAATTCGTGCATCGTTCAGTAAACGATTAGCTTCCATCGTTGCACTCTCCATAGCCTCTCTCATATTTATCGTTACGTGTTCCTCGTGATAAATAGAACATTCCGGGCAATAGGATCGACTACAAGTCTGACAATAACATTGGTGAGCTTCGTGGATTTTGCAAAATACTATTGGTGTCTGTTGGAAATCTGAAGGTGGCATCAACTTTTTTTGTTGTGCATTTTGAAATACATTCCGTTCTGGTCTCAAATTTAAATCCAAATGACTCTAAATATAAAAATTGTTATAACATTATTTTAATTAGGTATATTTTTAATTATAAAAATAAATATATAGCGTGATTAGTTTGTTCAAATAGTATCAACCGATTCGTAGATGATTCTTTGAACTAGAGTTAAGTTGTGTAATTGTTATTTATTCTTTGCAAGAACAATTTATATTATAGAACAAAAAAGAAATTAAATTAAATTAAATAAGAAAAATTATAATTAAAATTTTACAATTGAATAAATCAAAAACGAAAATAAAAGATAATAAATAATAATAATAATAATAATAATAATAATAATAATAATAATAATAATAATAAAAAAAAGAAAAAAAAAAGGTTTATCAACGCACCACATCCATAGATAAGTCGCTAATTGAAAGGCATAGTTCTAAAAAGTAAGAGGAAACACCCCTTACCGATCGACGCCCTTCTATACCCATTTGACAGTCAAAATCTTGATAGTCGTTGCATTTACTTGTTATCTCTTTCGATTGAGAAAACTTAACGGTATCATCACCATTAACGACGTAAGGATGTAGTAGTATACTAATCAACGAATCGACGCTTAAATCGTCCGGTGAATGACTGTAGCCTTGAGAAGTTGAACTACTTCCTGATGACGTACCTGTTAAACTTTCCGAATCTGACTGGAACTTAAATAAACAAATTTCAAAATATTAATAAAATCTTTTTTTTGTATCTTTTAGTAAAAGAATATTAGCTAAAAGCTTTTTCATGTATTTGAAGAATTTTGACTTACACGAAATAAAGAATTCATGTCGCTATTAGATTCTTGCGACTGTTGTTGTTGCTGTTGTTGTTCCCGTTGTAATTTTCCGAAAAAGTTAGCAGCACGATTAAAATTTTGAGCGCGTTTCATCTTAGTAGATCGATAAGTTTCAAATAATTTGATTCTTTTTTTTTCTTGCTTATAATTTCGATCTGAAACATACAAAATATATAATATTGTTAATATTTTTTAAATTTAAATATTAATTCATTGTTTATAGGATATTAAAATTGTTATTGAATATTTACAAGCCTAATTATTAAAGAACTTTATTTAAAATATAAAAAGTTAATTAACAATTATATAATTTGATATTAAAATTATAGAAATAAAAAAGAACATTTTTTTAATACAATTAATCCCTATACTTAATATGTTTCCCATGGATAATGTATCACATAGATACCATTTATTCTACCATAGTTTTATACGTGTGTATGTGTGTATGAGATCGGGACACACGCCTCTAGGCCGGTTCAAGGCCGCTGACTGAGAGTACCGTACAACAAGAAAGCAGAATCCCCTTTTGCTCTTGGGATCGAGAAATAGGGTCCTGCTTTCTACTCATGGGATCCCACAAAAATCAATAATCACGGGAAATTGACGTAGGTGTATGTATTCATTTCGAGAGAGAAAGTTCTACCTGGTATATTGTTCAGTACCTAATCATTCAATCAAAACAATAAAGATTGAAAATGATACAAACGAAAAGTACAAACAATTTTGTTGAGTTTTATCTTGTAGAACTTGTTAGATCATTTAGAAACCGGTTTATCATTTTTTTTGTAAATGATCGGTAACATCGAGGAACAAACAAATTATTTATTATTAAATATCGTTAAATATGGGACCAAAAAAAATGTGCAACAGAAGAACAGAGCATCGATAAGAAGAATTAAATATAAAAGAAAAAAAAAGAAAAAAAAACTTATTCATTTTCCGGATGCTTCGTGGCATTTCGAGGGTGGTATCCTTGAAATCGCCATGACGACCAAGGTCAGACCTGCTTTTCCTCTCGAGGGTCAGAAAGGAGGAGAAAGTAAAAGGTCCGATACCTACGCGGAGAGGGTTGATGGTAGTGTTGGTAGGTGGTTTCGAAGGTATGCGAGCGCGCATGAACCACTCGGTTCTTCGCATTTACGCGCAAAGGGAGAGAAAGGGAGTGAGAGAGAGAAAGAGAGAGAGAGAGAGAGAGAAAAGGGGAAAGAACGCCCACGCGCGCGAACTTTGTGGGGCACGTGCGCCTATATACCTACCACTACCACCATTCAATGTAACCATTGCCCATATCCATCTTTGTATTGGTATATACATTTTCTATGTGAATTTGAGGAAACATGAGAGAAAGATATCAAAGTTTATGAAATTTTGATATATCAAACATAGTTTTTTCTATATACAAGAATTACTAATTTATTACATGGTATATATATATATATATATTGTTATGTGAACAACTTTTTTTACCGATTAGAAACTTTATATATACATATATATCAAAATTATTAATTATTATTTATATATGAATATTATATACAAAATTTTATTCCCTAATCTTCAAACATAACACTTTTCTAATCTTTTATACTATCTTTTATACTATCTTATATATATATGTGTGTTACTCATTTACCTTTAATTTTGTCGACAAGTTTTTTAGAAGAATTTGGAATGTTTCCAACCCGCCAGAAAAGTTTGAATTTCGTTTAAGCAAACGAATTGAATTCCCATTCGAATTTATTATAAATATTAAAATAATGTCCTTTAAATCTGTAAAGGACAATATAGAGAAACAAATTCAAATTACAATTACAAATAATCGTTTTTAAGATTATTCATTTCTAACAATTACATAAATTTATTTTATAATAAAAAAAAACCAACGTTCACAATAAAAATTAAACAATATTATTATTTCCTTTTTTTTTATTTCTCTTTGTTAAATTTCTACTTAAATTAATAATTTGATTAATCAAAACAATTTTACCATACGTTTAAATTAAACTACAAAAATATTATATATATATAAATATATAATTTAAAAAATAAGCATCGTAAAATGAATTCTTTTAAATAATTTGATATCGATAAAATATATGATATTTCTAAATTAATTGAATATATTTTATAAGACACTAACCGTTTCGTCCTTATGTCGAGCACCGTCTTACTTCAGCAGCAGTAACAGCCGATGATTTTATATACATGTATATATATATATATATATATATATATATACGTTATCGTGCTACACGCTTATAAACAAATATTTACATTCAAATGCGAATGGTCTTTTCTAAACACAAGTTTAAATAATCGAATCACAATAAAAGGAGAGACGGGGACGGGGGAGTGTTCGTGTCTAATCTAAGAAATGATATTATAATTTAATAATTGAAGAAAAAAAAATAATGGCTCAGTGTTTCTGGAAATTAATGAAAATTTTGCGTGAAATATTTTATCTCAATTTATCTTTCTTTCTTTCTCTTCTTTCTCTTTCTTTCTTATCTTCTAATCACATGTACTTCTAATAATACAAGTTAACCTCGCGCCTCGAGCTTTCTGTCCGCACTAAATTCAAGTTCGTCTACTGTAGTATTTCTAAATGAGCTTGAACACCCGCGTCCCCCACTCATTCTACGTTCGTTCCCGTTCAACCAATCGTAGTCACGCAAGCGCACCCTTATTCTTTATCTCTATCTCTCTCTCTCCGTGTATGCGTATATCTAATCCGCATCCCCACTGGTGGTGGCATTTGCCATTCTACCAGGCCACCGATTTCTAGCAATCCCTTTTCGTTCCTACATTTTTATCTTTCTCTTTCTATTTATTTTCGCATACGGCAATATCGAGTAGGTTCAACTATTTTAATTTTATGTATATATCCATATATATATAGAAGTTGCCTTAATTAAACAGATTTCCAATGAGATATCTCACATTTTGAATATATGTACTTTTAGATAGATATATTTAATTATTTGTGAACACTTATTTTGCAATTCAAATCAACGATATCTTTTCCATCCATCCATCGATATAATCAACTTTATTTTTATCCCATTGACGCGTATCGGTTACTTTCTAGCCCTTATGTATTAACCTTGAGAAGGATTCCACGAACTGATATCTTTCCTATCCCATAAACCCTTCTTCCTCGTGTACCGATAAAGTTAAACTTTACCCGTCCTTTTTCTTCTCTTCTAATAAAAAATATTACAAAAATCATCAATACTTCATTCTTAATTTCACCGGTTGTTCGTTCATTGAAGCTCAAATAGATTTGAACTTGCTAATACTTTTCAACTCTCATTTTTATTTGATACTTGGCATTGTTTCAATTTTTGAAAAATTTTCTAGACACTGAAAAAAGATTTCATTTGACTTGTTTGAAACTTTATAACAGAGAATACCAATTTACAATTTTCTTGATTATGTGGGAGATTCAAGAAGACACCCCTCTAACCCCTCTTAACGTTTGCCATTCGCCATGCGGCTTTACGATAAAGCGCTTGCGTCGGAAGATCATGAATGGAAGCGTCGCTCAATGCAGCTTCGGCCGTTATACTTTTATTTGCCTCTTGTGGAATGTTGCGGTTTTCCCTTAAAATGACGAACTATATATATATGTCCTAACTTGATTCGATAAATCAAATTTCATCAACGGTATAGCTCTGCAAATAACTCCGCCATTTTAAAATGTATATATTAAATAAATTCTAATAATTGTTATAGTTAACTTTAAATTAACATTCTCATATTCAATGAATATATACATATACATATATACTCATACTATGTTGTTTGAAAGATACCAAATATAACTGCTATGTTACAAAAATTAATATAATTTCTTTGTCAAGGTTTACATCAATTTTAAATATTATAATTAAAATATTTATTCCTCTTATGATCTCTTTTTTTTTAATGAAAGAATTTAACAAAGTTAGAAAAATAATTCTAAGGCGTATAATTTTATGAATGGACTTGTACGTGTACCACGGCCACCACGTGGTGGGGTGCTATGTGCCCGCTTTAACGATCGAGTCGTGTGAAACACACTTTTTCCCTGCTTTCTATCTATCGCGTCAGTCCTCCTCCATATTCCTCTCCACCCCTTATCAGTAACCACTACCACTACCACTACCACCATCAACCACCAACAGGCACGCGCGTGGCTTTGTACGCGCGCGCGGGCGCACGCGACATCGCATACAGGTGGTGAGCTTTGTACGCGTACAATATAACCTTCTATGTGTATTTACATATATATAGATCTATATATGTATGTATTTTCATCTCTATATACAGAATCACGGAAAGCTCTCACGAAGCTGCATCAATAAACGTAATCAGACGTACACTCACTTCTCTCTCTCTTTCTCTCCCTCACTTTCATCCTTCTTTTCTTTCTATAAAAAAATAAAATTCATTTGTAAAATAATATGTTATGTTATACTGTTCAATTTTCTACATTTTCTTCTGGAAAAAAGAAACGAAGAAAATTATTTACTTCCGCGCGATATATCTTTTTGCAAAAATAAAAAACTGATTAAAGTATATATAAAAATACACGTGTAGAAGATAAAATAACATCTTATTTGTTAATAACTTTGTTTAAAACCGAGATAGCGTAGTCTATCTAAAGCAATATATGTATATACTCTTCATGTACCTTGATTATAAAAAGCTCTAAGAAAAATATATTATATATAAATAGAAGTTAAAATTAAATAGATGTTTAATAATATTAGATAGAAAATTAATTCTTAGTTAATTTTGTATTTTACAAACAAAGAGACAAAACAAAGAAAAATTGTTAATTTGTTTTAATTGTTGTATCATCTTAGTATGATAATAATTAATTATTATTAAATTATCGTGAGAGATGTATCTATTTAATATTATAAAATAAATAATAAGTATAATAATATAAAGATATATGTATATATAATATCTATTTCAATAGTAAAGTATAAAGAAATAAAAAGAGAGTTTTCCAAGGAACGATGAATCGTACATGCATATATATTCCTGTCTTTATGTGAATGTACGTGTGATGCGTAGGCGCACGCGCCCATTTGTATGTATTTGTGTGTGTATGTGTTAGGTACGAGCGTTATACGTAGTCGCGTATCTCAATGATAGTGTAAGGGAGGAGCAAAAGGGAATGGGAACGTCGATGAACGAATATCCTTACCCCCTCTTTCTCTCCTTGATACGTAGGTGCTCCCAAGGTCACCGCAAGTGCAAAACTACGTAGTACGACGCCTCCGTCGCGACGCCCGCGCATGAAACGTGGGCGCCGCGTGTATATATATAGATCTCTCTACAGGTCGTTTTGTTTCAACTACATCACCTCCTCTCTGATTCAACCCTAAAAATAACGAGAAAATGTTTATTTTTTTTTTTTTATAGTTTGTTTTTAACAAATCAAAATCCTTTACATTTATTTTTATTTCAAATTATTATTGGCCAATTTGAAAATATTTCTCTTCCAAGGAGAATTTTCTTTTTGTTTATGAAAATTAAATTGAATTATTTTTTAATTGAATATTAAAAAACAAATTTGTAAATATGTCAATGAAAAAATTATTTAAAAATATATTTATGAGATAATGATAGATTTATACAATATATATTAAAATATATGTATATATTAATTGTAAGATACTTACAAATTTTTTCAGAGATAAAAGTGAATTGGAACGAACAGTAGATCGGTCGGATAAAAAAAACCGACAAGATGATCCCACTTTTCCAGCAGATTCCATATTTTGCAAGATGGGGGTTGAATTCTTTAACACGATTACTTCATTGTCAGTTAGTCTCTATTACAAAAGACACACCATTAACATTGTGTAACTTCAAAGGGTGTAAAAACGAAAAATATTTCGATAATCGATTTAATTAAATTAAAAGATTATTGGATTAAAAATTTTCATTTCAATCTTTAAATCAATTTAAAATTCACCTTTTTCGTGCATATAGAAATATTATCGTTTTACCTTGCTTAACGGAATGGAAATAACGTTTAATTAACTTTTTAATTAACACCTACAATGAATTAACAGAATTTGGAAAAATCATTGTGGTTAATTTTATTGACAAAATACATATAATGAAAAATTCGTATTTTTTTAATAATAATAATAATAATAATAATAAAATTTTTTTTTACGTAGAAAATATATCGCCTTAATTGTTAATGCTCTGGCCATTTATATTCTTATTTGTACCATTTATTTTATGTTTCTAATCTAAAATCTAAAATAAACGAAAAGTTTAACTACTAATAAACAAAAAGACGAAAAAATATTTAAAAGAAATTTATTGTATAAAAAATATAGTATCATGGTCGAACCTTAAAAAAATATGATTAACATATACGAATTGAATTTTTGCCAACAACAATTATAACTCCATCCTCCTGTAAATCTTTCAAAGCATCTTCAAACATTTCACGTGTCACCAACTAAAAATTGATAAATAAAATATAACACATATAAAAATGTGAAATATACCAAATAATCTAATAAAATATAAAATATATTATATTTACCAAATCAGATGATCCTCTAAATTCAGTAAAAACTTTTTGATAATTAAGCATAGATGTTTTATTTTTAGATTGTATTAATTTTTTAAGAGCCTCGTTTAATTCGAATCTTCGTTTTCTAGCTGCTGAAGAAATTCCAGTAGTTAAAATACTGATGTCAATCTTACCACTTAAAGGATCAACAGCTGATTGTTTTAAGGCTTCACGATGTAATCTATTTTAAAATATCAAATTTTATTTAATAATTATTTATTGTAGAATAGTTTTAATATAGTAAATTGAATAGTTTTTAATTTTAACCTCCATGCTTCTTCTACATCTTCAATTTCTACAACCTGGCTGAATCGTATTTTTGCATGAGCTTCAGATAATCGTATCAAAGATTCTAATTGTCTCGGATAAGCAGTAATTTGCCCACGGCCACTACCTACTCTCCTCATATCAACATAAGCTTGAATCAATCTCTGTTGACTCTCTTCATTGAGAGTCGGATGAATGTGTTCTTTAGCATATGCAATGTAATCACGGAGTATACTCATATCAATGATTTCATCCTCATCCTCTAATTCAGTTTTATAATAAAGAGATACTAAATGGCGTGCTAATTTTCTATCGAATACTTCGCTTTGAGGATCTAACATGAGAAAGATTAAATCGAAACGTGACATCAGTGTATGAGGTAACATCACGTTTTCGACGACCTGAAAAAAAATCATAAATTCGTTAAGTATTGTTCTATATAATAAATATAACATATGTATGTATATATTCACCGTTTTATTTTTATTCCATTGAGATCCGCACGGATTCGCAGCAGCTAAAATACTTGTTCTTGCATTTAATTGACAAATGATTCCTGCTTTGGCAATACTTAAGGTTTGTTGCTCCATAACTTCGTGCAAAATAGAACGTGTACTATCATTCATTTTATCAAATTCATCTATACAACAAATGCCGTTATCTGCTAATACCAAAGCTCCAGTTTGTAATACCAACTGTCTACTTTCAGGATCTTTGGTTACATAAGCTGTTAAACCAACAGCACTGGAACCTTTTCCACTACTGTATTGTGAACGTGGTACCAAATTGTAAACAAATTGTAATAACTGTGATTTGCTGGTACCAGGATCACCGCAGAGTAATATATTAATTTCTGAACGAAAATGTTTCCTTCTGATGAGACCTTCACCTTTTTTTGTACCACCAAAAAGTTGAAGCAATATACCTTTCTTTACATCTTCATTTTCATAAATACTTGGTGCAATATGTCTGGCTAATCTCTCATAAACATCCTCCTTTTGAGATAACAATTGTAAAAGTTCTATTCTCTCTGGTGGAAATGCATGATCTTTACCTTCTTGTTGATCGTACAATCTTTTTGAATCATGTTTCCTAAAGTGAACAACATCGATATGTGTTTTATAAACGGCACGTACATTTGATTGTCTTGGGTTAACACGTAATGGTTGAGCACGATATATTCCTGTAACATATACTCTATCGCCAGGAGAAACAGCATCAACTAAATCATTATGTGCAAAAATGATAACAGTATGAGGAGTGTGTCCAGCAGGCATATCATCAGGCGATTCTTGTAATTTAATCATTTGTTTATCAGAAAAGTGGCTGCGATTATGTATCAATGTAAAACAATAATTATTGTTACATTTTGTACAAGCTGTAGGTTCTACTATACGGCCTCTATCCATTTCTACCAATGTTGAGAAACCACATATAATACATTCAAAGAATGCTTCTCTCATCTCTGGCATAATATTAGATGTTCTGATCACCATACCAGAAACAGTAATTAATTGATCTATATCTTCTGGATTAAGCAAGCGCATACTTTTAGTTCTAGTAACATTAAAAGGCCGTACTTGTATCTGATGTTCTAACACTGCCGCTGGATATTTTTCAAAAAACATTTCATTAGCTGCCATATCCATAGTAGGTATGACTTCTTGTGGATAACATATTAATTGTCGATATAATTGTTCATCAAAAATTTCCAAATGTGCACAATTTATATTCAAATATGGTTCCTCTAATGTATGAATTTCTTCAAGCTTTTGTAAATATAATGGCTCTGCTAAATTCATATTTTCTGGTAATTCATCGTTTTCAGCTTCTGGATCAATGAAGCGAAGCACAAAACGTTTGAACTGCTCTTTACAACGATTTACAACTACATTTGTACCCCAAATTACTAATTGTGGTCCTGTGTTTTCACTTTCCGATGTACCTGGAATAGCTGCTTCCTCAGGAATCTAAATAAGAAACCAACAATACTTCTTTTAGTAATGTTTTCATTTTGAATGCTTAAATTATTACTGCTAAATAAATATTTGTTATTTACCGGTTCAGACAAATTAACTTGACGCATATGCTTATCGGTTCTAATATCCGTTCTTTGCCGAATAGGGGTTCCTCTAACACCACTTCGTGGAGTACGTATAGATCCTAAAGAACTAGGAGTACCATAATTCAATGGAGATGATAAGTCTATTTCACTCATCCCTGCAGCAAGTGGACTTTGTTGTGCCGCAATTGGAGAAGATGCTGGAACTTGGGAACCAGCCTCCGATGATCCAGCAATCGTCTCTTGAATACGACGATTTCCCCATCGTAATGGAGTTTCTGCAGTATTGTTTGTCAGTCTCTTTTGTGGAGTTCCTGTGTAATACAATACATAATATATTTTGGTTCAAAAAAAACCTTTCCAGTAAAATAATAATACATGAAACATCTGATATAACCCAGTTATTTTTTTATTAAAGAAATGCGTATATATAAGCTTAACAAATGAAAAATGTAATTATTATTTAATACATGTATATTTATTTAAAAACCTCTATTAGAACCACTGTCATTGCTTCGGCTGGAACGAGGCGGACCTAATGGGCTTGACATTGTGTTTATAAGTAATACAATGTATAACTACTGTTTTCCAATTCTAAATATCTGTTAAATAACAAAGAAATCGTTATAAATTACACAAAACTTAAATAATGTGAATAGGTTATACGCATTCTTCTTAGACATATACCTGTACTTTTTCCCGGCAAAAATTTCGTTCCTTCAACCATATATCGAAAAATAACCTATCTTATATGAAACAAGCATGCTGATTGGTCGAGCACAGTTGACAAGTAAAACGATTTTAAACTTTTACCGCGTTACGCTACAAATATCTGTCGGGCTTTCTGATTAGTTCTTCAATCATTATTATTAATTAAAATGATACTGATAAAAATAATGAATAAAATACTAAAGAATATTCTATTGATGTTAATTTTCCAGTAAATATTTATTCTTTTTATTCATATATTAAAATATATTAGTTCTTAGGTTTGCAGAAAAAAATTCATACATTGCGCATGCGTAAATAATATCACACATACGAATATCTATCTATATTTATCTTATATTTTGTCTTTCTATCTAATAATCAAACACATTAGAAAAGTGTGTGTTTACGCAAAAGTAAATGTGTTTAGTTGGCAAACGAAAATCTTTCTTTTTCGTTCAATAAAAAATTAATTTAATGAAGGAAAGAAGTGAAAATAAAATTATATTAATATTAGATTCTAATAAATATTTTAAATCTTTTGATTATTTATTATAAACTACGTAAATTTCATCCTTGAGAATTTTTTTCTCTTAATTGTCTCTCTATGTTTCCCGCCAACATGGCAAATATGGCGGCGCTCGTGTAGTTTCCCGCCAAGGAACAGCTTTAGTAGGACCATTCTCGTATGGCGTAGATAACCGACACTTGTCTTTTATTTGTCCATATTATTTTAAAGTCATTGTTCATAATATTCAACGTGAAAAATGGGAGAATCGGAAGATATGGAGGATTCAACTTATAGTAGACATCAAGATTTATGTCAGAAATTAAATATGGATGCAACTGCTGCTTCTGAAGCTTGGAGATCATACGAAACAATTCGACAAAATTATACCTTGGAGGTGATTATAACACATTAATCTAATTAAAATAGAAAAAAAAAAAACAATATATGTTTTTTCTATTTTATCAATTAATAGAGCTAAGTAAATTTATTTTATTTTCATTCCAAATAATGACAAACCCAATGATACAATGACATTCTATTTTTTATCATATATATGTTATTTTATTTTTATTAAATATTTTTATACAAATATCAATTCACTTTTCAGCTCATTTAATACAATTAACGTTATTTAAGTTACCTATATTATATAAGTAGGTTTAGTATAAATAATATTTGTATTTAATTAATAATTGTCATATTTTTAGGGTGATCAACTTCATTGGATAGGATGTGCTTTATATGTTGCATGCAGAAAATCTTCGACGCCTACCGTTGGAAGAACAGGTAGCAATGTAGAAGGAAATGGTGTATCTTTGACTCGTCTTTTACAATTATGCAATCTACCATTGATACAATTCTTTACGAAAAGTAAATCTTGGGCAGACATGGCTAGCATGCCACAAGATTTCAGAGAAAAGATTGATAAATTGGAAGGAAACTTTTCAGTTTCTATGGTTATTTTTAAAAAGTATCAGCCAATTTTTACTGACATTTTTAAGGATCCATCCGATGACATTTCAAGACCATCAAGATCGAGGAGAAATAAATCATATCCTTGTACTCCGTCAAGAGTATTTGAATTTTGTTGGACATTATTTATTTGTATAAAAGGAGCATTTCCTGACATATCTGATGATTTAGTTAATTCTTATCATTTACTTTTGGCTTGTTGTGATCTTATATATGCCAATGCTTTAATGGCAAATAGGAAAGATCTTTTAAATCCTAATTTTCCTGGTAAGATAAAGAGTTTAATTTGTATGTTTATTTCATTATAAACTCAATTAATATTCTTTTAATAATGTATATTATTTTTTACAGGTTTGCCAGGAAATTTCAACGATGAAAATTATATACCACCACAAAATCCAAATTGTATTATTAATTTATTATGCGAACGTCATGAAGCTGTTGCCGTTGAAGCAAAATGTATCAAAGAATATCACTTGAAGAATCATATTAATAAGTTATTTAATGAAAGAATTCTTCGTGGAGAACAATCTAATTTTTCTGGTATTTTAGAAGCTTCAAATTTTGATGGAAATAGTAAAGCTGTTAATAAAACATATGAGCAATATGTATTGAGCGTTGGAGACTTTGACGAAAGAATATTTTTAGGTAAAAATTCTTAAAATTTATTTAATGCTTATTAAATATTTCATTTTAACATATATATTTATATATAGCATATATAATTTAGCTTTCGCATGTATTCTCTGTTTCTATTTTGTTGTTATTTAATTTTTTCTTTTAATTACAATGCTTATGCAGCTCATACTATAGTATGTTAAAGCATGCCAACTCGTTTAACATTTTTCATTTAAATTCATAGTTGATGTTACTTTGTTAAATAACACGCATACACCCTAATATATACTATTTAATTCATCTTTTATTTCATTGAAACATTGAATATCAATTAAAATCATCACATTTCTTTGTTTTGTTTTTGTTTTTTGTTTATCATTACATTCAATCTAAAGAGATTATCATTAACTGTCTATTTTGATCTTATCTTTAAATAATTTTCATTTCTTGCGGTTAACCGATTTGTGTCTGCTTTGCCTTGGCTGTGGTTTGCAGCTGAATGGAGGAGAGTGAGACTAGGCGGGATATCAAGCTTGGAAATAGTTGGAGGAGATATTGTTTGTCGTACTAAATTTGCAAAACCTATGCCTGTCAGAGGTAGGTTTATAACTTTTCTTTTATTATTCTTGATATTCAATTGGAAATCAATTTTTATGGTACATTGATATATTTTTATATTTTTTAAATTATAATTAATTATATAGTTATAGACTTACCTTTTTAATTTATACATTTATTATTAAAATTGCGTTATCATTTTTTCATAAATTATAAAAATGGGGTCAAGTAAATTAATTGAAATCTTATCTTATAAATATATTAAGATACACAGAAGTATTTATTAAATAAAGAATTTATTTACAGGTCAAGATGCTAGTGATAATATTGGTTCACCTGCACAGGGTGGTAGTAGTAGTAGCGATGTTCACGATCAGTTTCAGTCAAGACGAGATCATTATACAGGAGTAAGTTTATAATAGTTTTATTTAAGTTAGAATTAAATGTCATATATCAAAGATAACTATAATTAAATAATTATATTGTAATTTTGACAGCAAATGCAACATTTAGCTCCTCCAACTCCACTAACAGGTCGCAAATATCTCAAACCAAAGGATGTGTCAAGCATAACTCCAGTTTTTACAGCTACTCAAAGTGTAATACGCCTTCAAGCAATGTTAGCTGGTCAATCTTCACCCAGCGCAAATTTATTACAAATATTCAATAATTGCACGCAAGATGTTAAAACATTTGTAACAACGAAAGTAAAAGAGATAGGGGAACAATTTTGTGCCAATTACACCAAAAGTTCAGATACTAATGAAAACACGACTCTAGATTTTGGAAGGAAACGTCTTTGTTTAGGACAAACTCTTTTTTACAAATTTTTAGAAATGATTATTAATGATGAAAAACATAAAAAGCCTAATTATGATATTACGGTAAGTATCCAATAAATTTATAAACATTATAAACTGTAATCATATATGTAATAAAACTATTTTATATATTTATTTTAGAATTTACTTATGAATGAAAGATTTATACGATGTTTGTTCGCGTGTTGCTTAGAAATAGTTATTTACTCATATAAAAGTAATGATAAGATGTTTCCATGGATATTAAAAGCCTTGGATTTAGAAGCTTACTATTTCTATAAAGTTATAGAAATAATAGTACGAGCAGAAGAACAATTACCGCGTGATGTTGTAAAGCATTTAAGTCAAACAGAAGAAAGAATATTAGAAGCTTTAGCTTGGAAAAAAAATAGTCCATTATGGCAAGCAATTGAATCTACCATTGGTGAAGTACCTAGTTGTGAAGATGTTTCTTTACCTGGTACATTAGAAATAATAGAACAAAATAATGCTGGACAACCAATATTAAAAAGAATTACTGTTGATCGTAGTGGACATAATGATGTACCACAAAGTCCAATTTCTTCTGCATCCGATAGGTACTCTTATTTATTTATATATTTGTTTTCTATCCATTTGTATATAAATAGTGTGAAATATGTACTTAAAATGTATTTATATAAATATTTCAGATTCCAATCACCAATAACGGCATCTGGTATTGCTAAAAAGCGTTTATTTCCTGATACTAGATCAACCGGACAAAGTGTTTTACGTGTATCTTCAAAAGTTGTAATTGATGGCAATTCACGAATACTTTTAACATTACCTGATCAACTTACAGTACCAAAAACTTCAACTCCACAAGCAACTATTAATGTATCACAAAGTTCGTCGATTACTAAGGAAGCTGGAAAACCAAAAAAAACTGGTTCTGTCGCGTTATTTTTTAGAAAATTCTATAATCTCGCATGTGTACGTATGCAGGACCTTTGCAATTCCTTGGATATTACAGACATAGATTTACAGAAAAAAATATGGACAATATTCGAATATTCGATAAAGGAACGTACTGAGTTAATGAGAGACAGACATTTGGATCAAATTCTTATGTGTGCAGTTTATGTGATATGTAAATTAGTTAAAATGGAAAAAAATTCTTTTACCGAAATCATGCGATGTTATCGTTTACAACCACAAGCTGAGTCTCACATATATAGGTCAGTACTTATTTGCAAAGGACCACAAGAAATAAAAGCACACACTGAAGCATCAGGAAGTAACGATATTCAAATGGATGAAGAAGCAAATGTGGCACCTCCAACACCAACAAATATGGCTGGAACATCACAAGATTATGGAACTGAGAGACGTGGAGATTTAATTAAATTTTATAATACAGTTTATGTGCCACAAGTTAAAGAAGTTGCTAATAAATTAGGATTGGCTCGTGGAAGTACTCAAACTCTTACGTTAAGTCCATTACCTAAAAGTAAAGTGTGCACTAATTCTCCAGTGAGACGTGTTACAGACAGTATTTTAACACGTACGCTTGATATCAAAGCAATGAATGCATCACCTGCACCACAATTAAGTTATTGCTTTAGTCGCAGTCCAGCTAAGGTATGTTTTCTTAAAAATATACTATTAGATACATAGGTAACTTTTTATTATAGATTGTTTTTCTTTTAGGATTTAGAAGCTATTAATAAAATGATGATTTCAATAAGTGCAAAAAAGATTGTCAACAAACGACTTTTATCAGACGATACGACTGATGTAGAGATGACGGATGGCGGGCCCTCACCGATTAAAAAATCAACGACAGTTGTTAGAAAATTGGAAAACATTATGGACGAACGTCGTACAAAAACACAATAATTAAAGTACATTTAGATTGATACAATCTATACCATTTAAGTGGGACTAAACAATGTGAAAATTTGTAGAAAAGATTTTTGTAAAATTTTATTTTTATAGATTAAGTTAGAAAAGATTGAAAATATTATGATTGACAGATTTATTATCATTTTTTTTTTGTTTAATATTATGATAACTGTTAATCACAATCTTGATAAATTTATGATCAAACAAAATTAATGAACGTCAAATCTATGAATCAGCAACATAACAAAATATGTTCCATATATCAGTTTTTTTAAAAGAGGTCAATTTTATTTGTCACTATTAAATTAAAGCTTTTAATGAAGGTGCAATAGTAGTTACTGCTATACCAATACAGAGAAGATTAAAATACAGTATCTGTTTTTTTTCGATATGTAGCAAGAAAGAAATTATTCTTTTATCAAGTTAATCGTATCTGAAATAAAAACAAGCATTTTTCAATCGATCGTATAAAAACTTTTTTTTTTCTTTTTTATTATATGTATATATCTATATATATATATATATTAATATACAGAATTTTTCAAAAATTCATGACAATACTTTCGAAGATATACCAAAACATTTAAAAAATGGTCGTATAAATATATGTTTAATGTACATTCATTTTCAAGTTTATAGACAATTAAAGAAAACATTTGAAGTGTGTGCTCGTCCTTGCTCTGACCATTCCTATAAATGGGTAAAAATATTCTACGATTTAGAATTTTACTTTCCAGGGAATTTTCATTGTATAATCGACGTACTTTCAGTTAATTTCTATTTATACGGCCATACGCGAGATGCACGAAGTTCATTACAGTATAACTATTGAAAATCATTTTGTCAATTTCAGAATATTACTAATTGCTGCTAATATTATTCATGAGAATAAGATACTGACTGAACACAATTATGTGTGCTTCATGCTGATGGAAACATCATATAAAACTAAAACGTTCAGCAATTTGTTTTAAAACCAGAAGTGATCACTTGGAAATTTTGAATCATCTATAACTTGAAAACTAAGGTAAATCTGGATAATATATTCATATAACATTTTTTACTTATGTTGATACAATCTTATGAAGTATTGACATGTATTTATAAAACTGTATATAATTTTTCATTTGCATGTTTAGAAAATTCGTATATTATACGTACACATTTTATTGATTAGAATTATTATTAATTTCGAATGTGCGTAGTTCATTATTAAACGTTTATGATTTTAAAGAAATTTTCTATTTTACAGAACGTTCTAATTACACGTTTAGTATTTTATAATTATTTTATAAAAATATATATCGTCTTCATCTCTCTGTATTGATATTCAAAAATAAGCATGCGTTCCATTCATAATAATATGAAAATTATATATATGTGATGACTTGCTAATTTAAAATCAAGTAAGAATGAAAATATTTTTCTATTAAACTTATGATAAATTATTATTCGACGAATTATGTTTATAATATGCGACTTTTCATTAATAGTATCCACAAAATTATTATTAATAAGACTTTTTTTGATTTACGTTTCCTATAATAGTCATTAATTGTTATTGTCAATATTATTGACTGATTATACTTTGACTGAAAAATTTGTTATATTTAATTAGATAAATGTCGTATATCTAAATTTATGACTATTATTTGCTCTAGTACTATAAAATTGTAATGTTAATTTTAACAAAATATTTGAACATATCACTTTGTATGTATACAAAGTGTCCTGTAACTGGTGGTACAAAAGAAAAAGGGGGATGATTCTACATAAAAAACTAAATCTACGATTTAGATTGTAGAATTACTTTTTCATTTGTACCACCAGTTACGGAACACCCTGTGTATTTACATAATTTGGCCTATATATTACATTTATTTTCCTTGAGACATAAGGAATAATTAGAATTTCGATTACCAATGTACTTTTAGTTTGGAGTGTCGTAAGTTATTATGTATATGAAATTTAGTTTATGTGATTAACTAAAAACAGGAGAGAAGGATTTCATTATCCTCTTTTTTTAACAGTTTAGTTCTAAGCATTTTCAAATTCAATTGAAAGTCTCGATCTCATAAGTCTGTCATTTAATATTAAATTATAAGAGTTATAAGATACCCAAAATTAGATTTAAAAATTGTAAAAAAACATTTTCTTAATCAAGTTAAAAGTTTGTAATTTAAGTTATAAATGAAATACTTTCATTTGAAAAAATAATGTTTAATTTATAGTTAAACAAATTCGTAATTTATACAAAAAAACATTACTCAATTATATAAGATGTTTCATCGAAACGGGATCACCTAAATATCTCTTTAAATAACGTAACATTTTCGTCAGAAAGTTTTTTTTTTATACAAAGTCAAGTAACGGAGATATTCAAGTGTTCTCTTTATCGTGACAAAAATTTTAACGTGCAGGTTACCTCCTGTCGTATTTTTGAAATAATTTTTGTTTCAAATCTTTGAGAATGAAGACGAAAAAGATAAAAAAAAAGTTAATATATTTGATTTACAAATATAATACATGCTGCGTGCGATTTTGTTTGAACGATTATGAGAGTTCCTTCAATCATCTTTTAAATACTGTAAAAATTCGTATAAACATTATATTAATCGCTACTTTTAATATATATGTACATATGTGGTATTATATCAAGTAAATTAATGGAAAGAAATTGAAATTTTTGTTCTTTCTATTTTTATGAACGTTTATAATAAATGTTTTTTTATTTGTCTTTTACCAAAATTAAATTTTAATTTAAAATTTCGCGCCTAATTACATGATTTACATGATGTATCGAATCGAAGGATCAATTTGGATCTTGAATGCCACCTAGCGGTAAATGAGTGAACTAATTGTGAAAGCGCTCCCGTGATAATAGACTTAGTGTTTCACGCGACGTGTGTGTACATATACGAAAAGTTTTATATAGTCTAGTTAAAAATAGTTTTAATATTTTTATTATCCTTTTGATTATAACCATTATTTTGACGATTAGTTAAGATAATTAAAATAATTAAGAATGCATAAAAATAAAAACATTTTTATCATATCTCACATAGTGCGTAGATTTATTAGTTCGAATAATACAATGTATAAAAATTATGCAATAAGACAAAGTAAGATCATGAATAAGTTTTTAAAACAAAATGAATCTAAAAGGTAGAAATAAAGTGTGCATGTTATTAAAATTTGTTATAAAATTAGTTATCAAATGATTCAAAAAATTGTTCTAAAAGTTTATATTTAATCCTGTAGAAAGTGGTATAAAAATAATCCACCAGCTGAATTGGATTTTCATTCAAGTTTGCTAAAGGAGAAAAAACCTTCGGTTCATGCACAGAGAAGAATGGTTGTACTTAACAAATTGTTTATGAAAAATATAACTGACTTAATGTCAACGTGTGAAGCTGCATCAGAGCTTTCAGAACGTGGTGTCGAAATAACAAATGTGAGTATTTCTTCAGATTATAAAAGTCTTAATGTATATTGGACATTAGAAAAAGTGGACGACGATAAGAATTGGCCAACAACAATAGAAGAAGTTTTACAAAAGAATTCATATATGTTACGTCATGAACTATCCCAAATGCATATCATCAGTAATGTACCAATTATCTGCTTTGTGAAAGATAAAATAATTTCTAATGCAAGAGAAGTTGAAAGTAGATTAGCATCACTTGACTTAGATCAAGATTATATTGAAAGCAAGGAAAAAACAAAACAATTAGACATTACTAATGACAATGAAACTGATCAGTCTGACAATAGTTTTCAAATAACATTACCAGAAATGAGGCATGATGTTCTAGGATTAGACCATCATAGAATCATGTCAAAGGTATAATTGAATAACTCTAAGTTAATAACTCTATTAAATTTATATTTATTTGATTTATTTATTTATAGGTTAAAAGCTTTAAAAATAAATCAAAAAATCATATTAATAATAAGGATGTATTAGAATCACATTCAGAACTAAAGGGACAACCTTTGTCTGCTTTTCTTAATAACGAAGATATTTCTAAAGGTAAAAATCAACGAGAATTATTTATTGAATTCTTGAAGAAAAGAAAGATAGAAGAAAGGAAAAAATATCGTTTAAGAAACAGACATTTGGAACCACATGTTCAAAATACATATAACGACGACAATGATGATGTTGATGATAATGAAAGTTACTTTGATCAAGACTTTGATAATGTGAAATATGATAATATTAATGATGAATTTGAAAAATAAAAATATTTTTAAAATAATTCAGAAGTTCATTGATATTGTATGTTGTTTTATTTTATATAAATATAATACTTACAATTAGTAGGACATTTTAGTTATTTGTGTAAAGAATAATTTAATTATATATTATACACACAACTATTTAACAATAAAAGAATAAGAAAATTTGGATATTAAATTATTTGAATTGTTAAATTTATATTCAAATAATTGATTCTTTTTCTTATGAATTTCAATTGATAAAAATTACTATATATTAGATAACATAGAAAAAAAATCAATGTAACTATAGTTGTTCCTATTTTTATCCAAACATATTGTCAAAATTGGAAAATAAGTATCAAAATAAGTCAGATATAATACTAACATTGTATTTTTAATAATAGAGAATCATAATTGAAGAAATTTTAGTAAGCTTTTATAATGTGACTTTTAAAAAATCCTACTTTTAATCAAATTATATATAACTATTATTATAATATTTCAAATTCTTAACATCGCATAAGTAATTGTACTTTTTGTTTTCTTTTCTTAAATATAATACATTAATACATGCAGGCCATGTATAAGTTCATATGTGCATATCTGTGTACATATTTTATCATAATAAAATTCCTTTTTATAAAATAATGAAATATACATTAACTAGATTTTGGTCGTTGTGCATTTAATTCTTGTTCATCATCTACTCTTTGAGGTTCCGATGTATCATTTTTTATTTTAAGTAAAATATCATCATCATCTTCCATTGAATATTTTGAAATTAAATTTATATTTGAATTTGTTAATAACTGAGTTGAATCAGTTAAAGCGCATGCTTCCAATACGTGTTTGTTAAAAATATCACTTTTATCAGCATAAACATGATGTCCTGCTCCTGATATAACTTGGACATTAACATACGATGATGAACGAGATTGTTTGATAAGTTCACCAGCTGTGTTATCTACCCAAGAACGACTACCATATAACAATGTTATTGGAATTTCTGATTTTAATTTATCCATTCGTTTAACTATAGGATTCTTTGCCCAACCAAAACCTTGCATCATGGCACGAAAAGCACTTTCTCCACTAGTAAATAAAAATTATAATTATATAATAATTATTGTAAATACAAATATGAATTATTATAAACAAAAAAAAATCTTACGATGGAGTTTGTGCATTGCATTGATGTATATATTGCGAAATTATTCCTGTATCATCTTTAAGTAATGGAGTGAATTTCTTAACTATGTCTGGCCGAGTTTTCTCAATAAGCCATTGTCCTAAAAATATATGTAATAAGTAATTGAATTAAAATTTGTATAGTTTATAAATATATATACTAACCAAATGGGCCTGCAACTCTTACTGCCCACAAAGGATTTAATGGTTGCACTACGTAAGCTATGGCTTTAACCCAAAGAGGAACATTTGCTTTTGCTACTACTTCTGAAGGTCTTTCTGGGAATCCCCAAGGATCCGCAAGAATCAAGTGTTTTACCCTTTCTGGATATTGCATAGTATAAGATGCAGCAAGGAAACCACCCATCGAATGTCCCAATAATACAAATTTTTCTAATTGCATTTCTCTTCTCCATTCTTCGATAGAACGAACTAATTGTTCTTCTGCTTCTTTTGCTTCTGAACTAAAGACTGGCCTACTACTCCTACCAAAACCTGTGAAAATTATTATACTTGTTTTATCAATATATTACAACATTCATTATTTGATTATATATAACATTGACATAAACAATAACAATAATTGATTACCTAAAAGATCTATGGCATATACTGGTCTTTGTGATGCAAATGCATCAAGATTTAAACACCAAAGAGCTACACCTGCACCTAAACCATGTAAAAGAACAATAGGTGTTCTTGGTGATTCTTCGTTTAAAGAGATAGTCCATATTTTATCAGCTGTACCAACTACAGGACCAATATCCACATACCATCCCCGGTATGCTGTTTTCAAACCTATTAATGAAAATATTTCATAAAAAAATAAATCATGTGTAGTTATGATTATAAATTTTCTCATTTAACTTTACTTACAAGAAAGTATTTTTTTCTCTGCAGCACGTAACATGGTTGAAGATGATCCCGACCAACTAAACCATCCCCAAAACCAACTAATAAACAAAATCAAGTTGTTTTCATGAAAATTAACTTATATAATTTGTTGGCTAAGGAAAGATTTTTTGAATATATGTATACAATGGGAAGTATATATAAATTTAAATATAAAGATTTTAAAATTTGTTCAAGTTAACCAATGACAAAAATTTAACCTAATGCTAATAATAAATAATTAATAATTTTTCTTATTAATAATATACGTATTTAAAAAAAGTAATACACAAAAATAACAGGAGAACAATTTCTCACCTTTATTTTCATATTTGAAAAAATATAATTTAAATATTAATTACAAAACATGATTTATCATATGTTATAATTTTGTAATAAATATAAATAAATTATTTATTATTAAGATTATTATTTTCGATAATCAAGATAATATTTGAGTTACGTATTTAATTAAAATCAATGATTTATATTTATTATGATTTGTCTCATATCAAAAGTAAATACGTATCTTGACAGTGATAATTGTGATGATGCGAGATATAAGAAGTGACGTAATGTCAAATATTTCTTACGCCAATAGATGCAAAAGCATGTTCATATATATATATTAACATAGAGTATATTTAAACGTGATGAAGGTTCATTCAAAGAAACATTTCGATTGACAGTTTAAAAAAAACATAGAAGCATGATTGTATCACTCACCTTTTAGACTTGACAACTTCATGATCAGCCATAAGTTTATTAAATTATAAAATAATGATTAAGTTTTTATCTTTGTCGATGAATGTCCACCAACAAAAAGCTGAACCTTTATACTCAAGTCTTCTATCTAATAACTGAACACTATACACACAGCTTTTACGTCGTCTGCTAAAAAATAAATGAGTGGGAGAATCAGCTGATCATTCATTGGTAGAAGATATTCCTACGACATCTATGTGTATTATGTATTCTATACACATAAAAAAGAATTGGCATTTAGTTTATAAAAAAAGGATACACAAACATTTAAAATACATATATTTCTCTATTTTCAATCATTCTGTTCATTACAAATGAAATAAATGCTACTCTTCTTCCATGACAGGAAACATAACCTTGACGATCATTCGTAATTATATAATACAAAAATTCCCGTCTATATTTACTTTTATGAAATAAATAATATTATATTTTATAAATAAATAATTTATACAAAAGTCATAAAGATAACTAACTTCACGATCGTTGTAATACCATTACGAATATTTCTGTTAACCCTGACATACATACGTACATTTTTAATGTTAAACACCACTAATGTAAGTCTTATCAATCGTCCTTATTTTTATTTTTATTTTATGTATCCATTTAAGTACATTTTCTTGACTAATTTGTATTTATGTAATGTAAAAAAAAAACAGAGTAATTATTTGAATGAGTTGCTAAAACTTACACAATTTAACGAAGTTTATCATAAATAAAAATGGCTACTTTACACGGAACACTATTAATTATTGATAAAATTATTATCACTGGATTTTAAAACGAGAATATTTCTTCGATGCTAATTATTGTTTTTCTATAATGAACAAGATCTTTATTTGTACAGACTAAAAGTATGACCCAACATTTTCTTTTAATCACTGATAAGAAAATCCAAGCTCAAAGGTCGTATTTTCATACAATCGAGTATTGAAAGAAAATAGGAATTTAATATCATATACACTTACGTACTTAGAATTTATTGATATCATATCAGAAATCATTTCTTTGTATTTGAAAAAAAGAAAAAAATCTTGATTAGTAAGCGCGCCTCCAATATTTTACCGAATGTTGTCGAACATTCACGAAATTTACCGAAGAGAACTTTAAAAATGGTTTCGTGTTTTGCATTAAATTTATTAATAATTATGATAATAATTATTATTATAATAATGATTATACATACATACATTAGTTGTCTATTCATTACAATTTCCATTTAGTTTGATCTATTTCATTAGTATTTTAATTGGTATAATATTATATCTTGATAATATTCTCAAAATGGGTAGCCTTTTAAAATACAATTAGTTATTATAAATTGTTTTTTTTGGTTTTAAATCAATTTGAATGTACATGTATTTATATGTATATATATATAAGAGAAAAGGAAGAGCTTACCCATACTATGATATCCTACTAATTTGAACTCTGGTTGGATACTTTTTGCTCTTACACGACGCGAGCTATTCGTTTCAATCACCACATCCTCATTGTAGACTTGCACGATTCTCTTGATTCCGCTCAATCGTTTTGTGGTTTTAAATATATATATATATATACATATATTAGTATTGTAAAGTTTAGGAGGTATCCTACCTAATATGAAATATGTAATATATATATATATATATATATATATATATATATGAATAAGCCTATGATTATGAAAGAGGACTAAGTCCAAAAATTGCAGTATTGATTTTAGGATTTTAAATTATTTATATTCTAAAGTAATTAAAAAACCATCTCTATTATAAAATAAATCATAAAATTAATTTCTTCTATTTTTGGATTTATAGTTTTTAACGTAAAAGTAAATGAATATATGTATCTATTGACACTTTGACTTTTTTAACATGTACAACAATTAATTCGTATAGAATGTTAATACTTTTTTTTGGATAGATGCTAAATTTTTGCTAACGAATATTTTATCCACTAAAAGTCCTTATCCATATCATATATATGTATTTATGGATTATAAAATATTAATATTAGATTTTCATACGCATGCTCGGTAAGCAGAATATTCTATCGACAAAACAACGATCGAAGCACACTTAACATGCTATACGATTCTTGTCTAATCGATTGATTTATTCTTAATTCAAATGAACATAATTTACAAAATCGATAAAATACAAATATATAAAAAAATGTCATTTATTAAACAAATAGAAAACTAATCAAAATTTTCAATAAAAAAATTATTTATTTAAGTTAATAATCATTTATAAGAAAAGTGACGATATAAAGATCGTTTAAAAAAATAAAAGAAGGTGAACATTTAAATGCGAACATTGTGTGAAAGATAATTAACCGATAGACAGCATTGACAAAGGCTAATTATCAATCGACTGTGAACTACTTTCCCGTGGTTCTCACTTCTTTCATTAGGTTTAAGCGTAAAGTGAAGGCGAATGATAACGATGTAAAACAAGTAACCAATCAGAAATCAGACAAAGGCGTTAGCTATAAAAGGAGAAACTAATCAGGAAGCAGGGAAAGGCGTCTACCGCGACGTGATTGGCCGATATCATGAGCCGATCGTTCCGGCGTAAGAGATTCGATAGAAGGAAGAAAAGTTTTTATTCGGATTGGTTGAGGCGTTGCTAGGCAACAGAAACGTCGTGCGCGTCACCGGGCGGCCAAGCAGGACAGCCGGCCGGCCGGCCGGCGTACCCGGCACCCGAACTCGCACGAAGCGTTTCCTTCGGAGTAGCGTAAATCGGCGCAGAACGTCGTTGGCTCTCGTTGAGTGCGAACGCGCGCTTGTTAATTGGTGCGTAATATAGATCTTTTTTTATTACACTTAAAACGCCGGCAGGATAATAGTATTCTTTCCGCGTATATAATATATATCTTTTATTCTTTATCTCTCTTTCTCTTTTTCTAACGTTTTTTTTATTTCTTTTTTTTAATGTAAAGAATATCATATATATACATATATCAAACAAGCCTTTTTTTTTCGAAAAAAAAAAAGAAAGAGATTTAAACGAATAAGGAGGAACATCCGAGTCTTCTTTCTCTCAGTAGGGTAAAAGTAATTTCGAAGAGAGAAAAAACTAACAAGGAGAAAAATGGCAGAGGACAAGAACGAGACAAGCCCGAACGCTGAGGGTGAAAAGCCGCCACAGGAAGCAGCACCGCCCGCTAAACAGGAAAAAGAGGAGCCCAAGGAAACGAAAGAGGAGGAGAAAAAAGTCGAGGAGAATGGCGAGGGTGAAAAGGCGAGAGAGAACGGTGAGGAAAAACCAACGCCAGAGCCAAAGGATATGCGAGCAATCGTGCTCAATGGTTTCGGCGGACTCAAAAGTGTTAAAGCTCTGAGAAAGCCAGAACCCACCCTTGGCGAAGGAGAAGTTCTTATACGCGTCAAAGCATGGTAAGTTACATTTCATTTTTATACATATATATATATATTTATTCATTTTTCATTACTGTATAGAAAAATGTTCTCATTCGTATGAACCTTTTTTCATGTGTCAGTCAAAGAATTCCGACGTTTAGTAAACTAATCGAATGCAGTGAATTTTTTCTGTCAAGGACACACATTGACAGATATAATATGCATATCCTTTATTCACATTTTTTAACAATAACTATCTATTAATTTTTTTTTTTTAATTAAATTCATCTCGAGTCATTTTCAAAGTACGTACTTATAATTGCATATGTAAAAAAAATATCATAAGAATAGTATTACTTTTCAAAAAGCATAAATCGTATCCTGGCAACACGAATCGATTAAAATTTTGAATAAGTATTTGTAAAAAGAATGAAATATTTTTAATTAAAAAACAATCTAATTAAATCGAAAGAGACACCATCGTAGGCCTTGTAACCCACCGTCGTGCAATTCTGTACGAGGTTTCTTTGACCTTGGCCATGGAGCCGGCTTCTATCTCTCGAAAGCTTATACGCTCTTGGGAGCGTGGCACACCCACTCTCTCTCTCTCTCTCTCTCTCTCTCTCTCTCTCTCTCTCTCTTTCTTTCTCTGTCTTTCTTTTTTCCTCTCTTCTTTCTCTCTCCTTCGATGGTGGTGGTGGTGTTGTATGCAGTATACGCGGTCGGGGAGAGATCGTCAACGTTGTATTCAAAGGCGTGCGAGAGAGGACCTTTTCACGCGTGAGTCACGTTTCATAAAGGCGATTGGCATTGATGAGAAAATAGCCCCTCTATAGAAAGACATAATGCCGTTGCTGCCGATGCTGGTTCGAATAAATTCGTGTGTATGGCGGTGTGCCCTTCCGGACACGCCACGCCATGTCATGCCATGCCATACTACCGGGCACATACACAACCGTCTAAAGTATGATTCCAAACGTTCGTTCCCATAAATGCTACTACTCGAATCAAATCATCTCTTTAGAATATTAATGAATTTCTTCTTTTTATTTCATCCTCCATTGTTTTTCTCATCTTATTTTCTTTCAATCTGTATAATTAACGTTTCCAAATCATTTTGTTCAGAAAATTATACAATTGTTTTTTTTATTTATTTTTGGAACTGCAATTTAATTTTAAAGTTCAACACAGAAAAGCGTTTTTGAAGAATCTTTCAAAAGAGGGATGATCTTTTTATATCGCCCTATATATATATATGGTCGACTGTCGAGGACGTGTTTCTTTCTTTTTCTTTCTTCTTTCTGTCTTAAATAAACTTGGTTAGTCGTTTGAAAGGAAATGAAAGGAGCAAGAGGAAAAAGGGGGAAGAGAGAGGAAGGGTGTGAGTGAGTAAAAGTAAGAGAGAGAGAGAGAGAGAGAGAGAGGACAAGAAGAGAGTACGTTATGAAAGGCAGAGTGAAAATCCTAACGACGGGTAACTCTCGTTCATATTAAACTGGAGGGAGAGAGCAGTAAAACTCTTCTCGATGAGCTGAATGGCATCCGTTCAGTTTCCCATAATGCGATACTAAAGGCTCATTAACTTGATAAGCCGAAGTAAGTCGAAGACATAATACTTCCCTTTATCTTTCTAATTCGTTCAAATAAAATCAACGAATATTTATCTGACGTTTCCAATAATTTCACATGTATTTTATTTTTATTTTATTTTTTGAATATTTTTAACTGTCATAATAATTTAAGGTTAAATAAAGAAAAATTTGAATAATAATTAATATATATTTAGATTATCTATAAAGATAAGAAATTATCTTTTACATAAAAAGATATTATTTTGAACACAAAGTATTTATTATCCAATGAAAAAAAAAAAGAAAGAACAAGG